ATAATAATAATAATAATAATAATAATAATAATGATGAAGAATCAATGCTGCTAAATGCAACGTGACATCTTGAATCTCTGAGGGAAAAAAAAAAACACATTAGGGCAAAGACTCACGGAAACTGCATCAAGTGTGGAGTTCAGTTAATACCAAAATATCAAATCCAGTTCCTTGTTCTGACAATGGACGACCTTAATGTAATGCTCGCGCTGGGGAACTTGGGGAGGGACACATGGGACCACCTGAAATTTTTTGCAACTTGTCTATACAACTTAAGTTAGCGTAATGCAAATTTTAACTTTAAAAAAATCACACAATGGGAAAGCCAAGCAAAACAAAAACAATGACCAAAACTGACTCCTCAAGGCCTGTGACTTTCGCAAAGAGCAAAGGAGAATTTGAACTTGAAAATCACTCAGGAAAACAACTCATAGGTAAAGAGGAGGAAAAGTAAAATGCATGTGCACTTGGGACCCTCCCAGATGCAGAATTTATAGCAATTTTTTTGCAGAGTATGATGATTTTAATTCTCTTCAGGAAAGTAAAGTGGTTATGGGAGGAGGCATAATACTGTTACCTGCAGAACTATTATCATTGTCAAAAACAAGTAAACTGCAGCTGTGACTGGGGAGAAGGCGCTGCCGTCAGACTCGGGAACATCAAATAATGATTTCTTTTCTTGATACCGCTGCACCCATAGTCCATGGCCTGCAGTAACGTTCAAAAGAGACATCATTCGTCCAGCGGAAAAGCAGGAACACCGCTGGTGCAAATTAAAACAAAACTTTGAGACTATGGCTTGAAGCAAGCACTTTGGGCTTAGTCACCTGCCCTGACACCTAAGAGAGCGAACGCATACGTGTCTGGCCTGTGACCATGCCGTGGGAAGGTACCAGCGCTCCAGCTCCTCCTCACAGCAGGCCCTTCCGTTGGCACAAAACGGCACCGTGGTCAGAAGCTGAATGTGTGTTGGTGCTGCCAATGGGAAACCCCAGAAAGGAATTTCCTTTATATACTCATCTAGAAATTGACTGATTGATATGTTTAAAAACCCCACTAGTTTTGGAAGTTAAGTAGGGCTGTTTCTTGTTTCTTGGTGTATGAAGCACATATGATAAAAGACAGCAGAGTTCCCCTCTGGGCAAAGACTCAGCAAATGTCTGTTTGTCTAGGATATTTGAAATTTGATTATTTGAAGTATATGTCATTGAGGTAATGTTACATTAGAACGTATATGAGTTTCAGGTGTGCACCAGCATAAACCAGCATCTGCACATGCTACATGAAGTTCACCACCAAAAGTCTACTTCTAGCCTTCATCACAGTTGACTCCTCAGCAAGGACTTTCCTAATGAGGACCTCACAAAACACCAGTCTGCCGTTATTTTATTCACCATCTCCCTGGCCTGTGTGAGAGCAGAATCCCTTTCCAAGCCATGCACCTCTTACCCATGAGCTCCAAGGCCAAGTCACACCTGCCATGTATAGATGGTGGCTGGGCAGGGGACGTGAAGCAGGCCATTGACCGTTGGGCTCACTCTTTTGTGAAACTTCTTAAGGCAACAGTTGGTTCCGGAGGGCAGCAGGGCCCAAACACAGCCTCACAGCTGACCCCTTCTTAGAATCCAAATAATCATTCTCCACTTGTCATGGCGTTTTAGCGTTTGTGCTAGTAGTATTTGTGCTTCTGCTGTTAGAATTAGTTCAGCACCAGGTTGGTTCCACTGAACTCATTACTACCAGTGAGATTGAACCATCCTTCCATTCAAGAACTTGTAGATGTGAACAATAACATTACTTGCCCAAGCCCATTCACTCATCTGGCCACCTCAGGGGGCTGGGCTCCTGTGAATATTAGGTCTAAGTTGAGTGACGAAAGCTCATTATAATTTCAGAGTGTTGGGTCTGAGATCACCCAGAGACTATTGCCCATGGCCACTCATTTGCGACCCATGGAGAAGACTTACCGACTGCTGAAAACAGAGACATACAAGCGAGGAGAAGGACACACCAGAGCACGTCACAGTTCATCTGCCTCTCAAGCTGGCTGCGCTTATAGCGGGGCCCACTGTTGTTCAGCAGAGCTTTGGTCTCATGGCCTGTGGGGAGGATGGGGAGACAGTGAGTGGACGCCAGGTAGAGAGAGAGACAGGCAAGGATGGCTCATGCAGTGTGCCACCACTGCCCAGGACATGTGCGGGGTCAGCTAAGTTGAAAGGTGGAATAAAGAATTAATCTTATGTGGCATGAGAAACCACCTGCTAGAAGACAAGAGGAAATCCTGTCTTTCTTTTTTCCTAGTACACCCACTAGGGAGACGCAGATTTTTTTTTTTTAATATTTTATTTATTTGTGCATACAGAACTGGGTACAGGCCAGAGGTGCAGGGGTGGTGAGAGGATTCACCAGAGACAGAGTGGGGAGCAGAACAGGCCGACTGATGAAGTACACTGCTGAGGGGAGCAGCGGGCGGGTCAGGAGAGGTCTGCCGCGCCATGTGGGTCACCTCCGGGGCTGGGGATTGAACTCCCACTGAAGCGGCTGCAGTGCTGCGTCCCTACTTGTTGTGCCACCAGGGAGGGCCCTGTCCTGCCATCTTTTACCACATGGATGGAACTTGGGACTGTGCCAAGTGAGATAGAAAAAGACAGATGCCATGTGATTTCACACATATGTGTTTGGAAAGATAAAGCAGCAAAACAAACAAACAAAAAGGAACATTTGGGCTCTGACAGAAGAATTACAGTTTCCAGTGGGGAAGGGGGAGAGGGGAAGCCACTCTAGGGGCTGTGTGAGGGAGGGATGGACACTGGACATTTGGCGGTGGGCGAGGTATGGTGTATATACTTGTTGAGGTGTGAGGCTGTCCTCCGGAAACTTATATAATGTTGTATATGTTACCTCAGTAAAAGAAAAAAAATCCATTAAAAGTATTAGTCTTCAGTAAGTAACCACCATGGAGCCCCTCATGGAAAGAAATAGGTTCATATGCCAAGAGGTAAGTTTTGCAAGTTTAAGTTTTGCCCTGAATGATTTGTTAGGATTATTTCTCACCTTTTCTACAACAGATGGGTGCTCTCTGTAGAATGATAAAATAGGACCAGGTGTGGAGAGCCCACAGCCTGGGTGGGGAGCTGGTTCCATCATGGGCCAGGTGCAAATGCCTACCTGCGTAGAGGACGATGCCAACCACAGCCTCTGTGTTCCTGATGGTGCATCCTCGCAGCAACAAGTTCTCCTTGCACAGCCCGGCCTTCTTCCCGCTGTCGTGGATGCTGCAAAGAACAGCGGGCACCATCATGAGGGTGCCCCCACCTCCTGACTGCCCTGCCTTGAGGAAGGTAAGTCCGGATGCCGGGTCGGTAAGGGGAACAGGGGAAGCCCACATCTGGGCAGCTTGTCACCCAGGAAACTAGATTTCTAGAAACATCGAGAGCCTGATGCTGGTCTGTACAGGGACTTTGTGAAATACAGAGAAATATACACATGAGTGTCCATCTCTGGTTCTTGACACAGGGCTCTTGAAAAATTTGTAAATAAGGGTGTTAGGTGAGAACTGTGTTTTAATACCAGTTCCTGGCACAGAGATCCTAAGTATTTTCCCAAGGGATAAGAATACTAGGAGCATCTCTCGTCCTAATATTTGGGCTTTGACTGTGGTAGTTTCTGACACAGGATGCCAGATCTCTGTAGTTTCCTTAGGGATAGCAGCATCTTTTATTCTAATGAGGTGACTCTGAGTGGCTCCTGGACTGGGGGTGAGGGGAGGGTGGATCACCTGAAAGAACAAGAAGCCCCAGACCTACCCTCTACCCTTTAGAGAAGAGAGGGATTGTAAATGGAGTGAATGAAGGATCATGTTCACATTTTGAAAGGTCCCCAAAATCTAGGTTCCAGGCAGGTGGACATGAGGAGGTGTTCACTTAGACACTTTATTCTATTCTATTATGGTAAACTGGTAAACACAAGTAAGTGTTTTCCTGAGTTCTGGAAGCTGCTTTAGCAAATTCTTGGAAACTGTAAGAGGCGTTGTAGAACCCTCTGATTTGTGGCACAGGTGAAAACCCAGGCAGTCAACGGGGTAGGGAACTGAGCTCCAACTTATGGGATTAGACTATCAATGGGGAGATGGTGTCAGAGTGGAATTAAATTATAGGAGACCTAGCTGGTGTCACAGAATTGCTTGGTCTGGGAAAAACCCACACGTTGGAACTGGTGTTTGGATTTTCTTGGGCTTGTTTTCACCACAGGAAAGGGTCTCTGCTAGAGAGGGGCTAGGTCAGGAAGCTGACTCAGGACAACGCCGCGGTGGGCCCTGTCCCCACCCCGGGCTGATCAACACGCTCACTGTCCTCATTAGAACCACCTGCATCACAGAAATACAGTTATTTCTCTAGAAAAGGAAAGGGTATTAGTTTCAGCAACATCTACCAAACCTTTTTTTCTCATGAAAGTTATTAAACTATATTAAATGTGAAATGTGGTAAATTCCAGGAAATAATGAGATAGACCAAGTTTTGCTACTCTTTAGATTCAGAAGGATAGTTTGAATTTAGCCAACAGTTGTTTTTTTTTTTTTTAAGATTTATTTATTCATGCACACAGAACTGGGGTACAGGCCAGAGGTGCAGGGGTGGTGAGAGGACTCACCAGAGACAGAGTGGGGAGCAGAACAGCAGATCGACAAAATACACTGCTGAGGGGAACAGGGGTCAGGAGAGGTCTGCTGTGCCCTGTAGCTCCGGGGCAGGGGATCAAACTCGCACTGAAGTGGCTGCGCTAGCTTGCAATGCTGCGTCCTAACCCATTGCACCACCCGCAGGGCCCTAGGCCACAGATTTTGAAGCGCCTTGTATTGGCTTCCAATGGTGGCTTCATTCTTACCTACACTCTCCAGCACCAGGAGGCTCCGGGCAACAGCTGCCTCGGCCTGCAGGAAGCTGCCCCGGGCAGACTATAGGCTAGCCAGGGAACGGCTCTCCCAGGTCTAAACTGCAGATCAATGCCCAGGTGAGCACCATCCTGGGGCATCGGGACAGGTATGGGGGTAGGACCAGACTGGGGGCCTTTTACTGCTTTATTTAAGTCTTCATCCCCTACCCTCTCTCCCTCTCAGTCAACCCACATTTCTAGAAAGAGTGGCTTGGGGATGTAATTCCCTTCCATCTCCTAAAATCTGGACTTGTCCACTCTCATACTAGGCAAGAACATGGGTACACTCCCCTTTCTAGGCTCCAGGGAGTCCAGCATCGTACTGACCTGATCCCTAACTGTCCGCACCGTGCCTCCTTGGCTGGGCAACGGTCTTAGGACTATACCCTTGTCTCAGTGGAGATCGCTTGATCCTGTTTCTTTCCTAACCTCTGTCCCTGATTTCAAGCATGATCTCCAGAAAGAGGGTGTTCAAATTCCTCTCTCTGGCTCCAAATGCCCTGAATTTCTGGCCTACACCTGTCCTTCCTGTCACGTGGGTCACTCTGCCCAATGCACTTGTCAGATCCACACGTTCACAAAATCTTAAAGTCAATCTTTCCTCGCTCCATAGGATCTCCCGCTACACACGCTGCAAACCATTCCTCCCCCCAGCTACCTTTCCAGCTGTATCACCCTTTTCCCCTGTTCCAGAGCATTATTTTAAGAGTAATGACAGCAGCAGCAGCCAGACAGGGGTCAATATTTACTAAGCACCCACCATTCTCAAAGAAGTTCTCTGTACTAGCACACTCAGTGACACAAAGTGCAATGATGCTTCTCCCCTCTACACAGAAATGAAATGAGGTGACTTGCCAGAAGTTACCCAGCGGAATGCACCAGGCGGGACGTGTGTAATGTCACAGAGGCAGAGCTCCCTGAGTGAGGGACTGAGAGTGACTGAGTCAGCACTAAATTCCTGGCAGGGTTAATCCAACTCGAGCAACACTGAGGTGTGACCTGGTGTCTCTGGCACAGTGGCATTGCATTTTCCAGATTTTTCGAGGGACCTCACAGAGAAGACAAATCATGAGCCAGGCCAGTCTTTGGAGGAGGATGTTTGCTCACCTTTTCTTTTTGTAGAGTTGGCACCAAAGACTTGACCCACAAGTAGAACGTCCATAGAATATTCTCCGTAGAACTTGCCCTCGCTTCTCTTTACACTAGTTACTTCAGGGTCTTTGGGAACCCAACATCTGCTCTGTTAGCCCACGCGGCTCTGGAATTTCACAGTGTGCTGAGAATGGTGTCATGGGTGGTATCTTGGGGACAACAGGCTAAAGAGATACCCACAAAGAGTGTAGACAAACTCCCCAGTTATGTATGGGGAGTTGAGTATTCTGTCTCCAAGCTTTAGAGATTGCAGTGCAACACTTTAAAGCAAGTTTTGATCTTTACTTGTTCTCTCTAAGGGGGGTAATCTAACATTTCCAAGTTCCAACCTGTAAGCATGAATATGGACAGCTGGGCTATCTTTTGGCAACAGATAAAATTCCCCTTCACCATTCCCTGATTTACCCGAGTGACCAAAAGCCCACCGTGTGCTGAGCACAGCCAGTGATACTAGATGTGTCAGTAAATGAAGGTGTAGACTTACACAGAAGCTCTGAGATGGAGCACCCTGCCTCCTTTGTGTCTGTGAGGGATGCTCTGGGCCCGGGTGACTAAGCAGAACTGCTGATGACTTGCACCTCAAACAGGGAGAAAGTCCCACATCTCCATACAAGAGAGCTAAGCTGGGAGGTTGAATAATGCCCCAAAGTAACTCTGAGAGCAGAGCAGGCCACACCGCGCTTATCTCAGGGACACTCTGCCTACTGCCCAAAGCCTCCTCGCATTCGCTGTTTCTCCCTACACAAACACACCCTCCCACCCACCCACCCATTATTATTACTATTGAGATTTCTAGATGTGTATGAAAGCAGAGAGACCAGTATAATTATTTCCCATGTACCCACCATCTTCAAAAAGCATCACCATGTCACATGGCCACATATGTTCAATCCTGTGTCACTTGTCTACTTTCTTTGTCTTTATTTTGGAGCAAGGGGCTGGATTATTTGGCATACAATATATTGGACTTTTTATTTGTTTATTTATTAAAGTAAACATGGAGGCAAGGATTTCTATCTATTCAGTTCACTACATTATCCCTGGAGCCATCAACAGGAGTTAGCACATAGTAGGTGCTGAACAAACACTTATTCAATGACACAGTAGATGAGTGAATGAATAAATTCCCCCAGGCTCCTCCTGCCTGTCCCCGCACCTCCCTTGAGTGGGGCCTGGGTAGTCACCACACTCTCTTCATCAGTCTCCTCACTTTTCCATAGTCCCTAGAGGACAGAAAGGTCATGGATGCTCATCACAGTCCATGCTGAGAAGTGTCCACAGGATCTTACAAACTGGTCCTATAAGCAATCAAGACAGCTCAGTATTGGGCAACATTCTGAATAGGGGACACAAGGTGGCAAAGAACATGAATGCATATTGTTAGAACTGTGGTGCTGTATTTATATAATCTGGAGAAAGATGAGCTACATAGGTAGATACAGTGTCAACCACAAGGACAGATGGATCATACTCACATGCACCCATGAAACCTTGTCAGGTCGTTGTTTGGCTTCTCACATTCAATGACACTAGTGAACTTCAAAGGGTTGAATTCAGAGACCTACAAGAAAGGCAGGTATATATTACAGACATCTGGGCTCAGGCTGTTCCATCCTAAAAGCACACATGTTTCTAGCTCGCATTCCCAGGAGGGAACTTTCATGGAAGGACTCTGCCCCGTAACATCTGCAGAGTGCCAAGCAAACCCAGCTTGACCTCTGTTTCTTCATTCTTATAATAAATGGTTACTAATACTGTCTAATGAACAGTAGTTACTAGAACAGTGCTGGTGAGTAATCAAGCAGAAGGAAAGAAGCTCTAGTGCAAAATAAGAGAGAACACAAAGGGGCCCTCCAATGTTGGGAGGGATGAATGAGCTGGAGACAGATCAGTACTTTCCAATTTTCTACATAAATTTAGAGAAGCAAATTCCATCTGGAAAATAGGAACTTATAATAAAATACCATTTGCTCAATGTGTGCTGAGAATTCTTCACTGATATTTTATGGAAAATATTTAAATAACCGATGTGTAAGTCAATGACATATTATTCTGCTTGATGAAGAAAATGACAGCTCACCACAAAGGAAGTCTGTCATTAGAACTTTGCCATCAGTAGATTGATGGATAGAATGATGCCTGGATTTGTGAAGAGAAGGGGAGTGGGGGGGGGCAAGAGGACAGGAAAAGAGGGCAGGAGGGCAACAGAGGGAAATATAAGGGCAACGCTTTAGGGTAAATAACTGAGTACAACTAAGAGCTTTTTCAAAATCAGTTCTCTTTGATCAGGCTAGTCATTTTTTTTTTCTCTATCAAGGGTCTTACGATAGAAAACTTCTACCTACATGGTAGAAAATTGAACTGTTTTGCTCACACAAACATGTTGTCACCAAAAATGTGCAAGTGGTTAAAAATCACAGAAGTGGCATAAACATTGCCCACAACAACCACTACAACAGTGTAGTGATAAAGGCATAAAGGTAACTCTACTCAGAAATCAGTTCTTATTGGTTTCTAATCTATCATGTACATTGCAAGGAGAACTCACATTGATAGGTAATAGTAACACAATTTGACAGCTGAAATTAAGATGCCATTTTTTTTTAAGATTTATTTATTTATTCATATAGAACTGGGGTACAGGCCAGAGATGCGGAGGGTGAGAGGATTCACCAGAGACAGAGTGGGGAGCAGAACAGGCAGATCGACGAAGTACACTGCTGAGGCGAGCAGCGGGCGGGTCAGGAGAGGTCTGCCACACTATGTGGTCTCCTCCGGGGGCAGGTGGGAATCGAACTCATGCGGAAGTGGCTTAAGCTTCTCAGTGCAGTGCTTTAACCCGCTGCGCCACCAGGGAGGGCCTAAGATGCCATTTTAAAAGGCTCTTCCTGAAGCTTAGTGCCACAAGAGCCTCTCTCATTGGACTGGATGGACTCTGGCACTATTTCCAGAGTGAGGCTGTTTAAAGGAGCCATGTTTACTTGAAGCTATGCGGATTATCTTGAAGCCAGTGGGTTGCCTTTTCCAATACAGCCATCTGTGGATACAGCATCCAGGATGGCCATGAAGGGAGTGAGTTCCAGAACATACCAGGATTTTTCTTGGCAGATGAATTAGACTTAAAATACTCTGTCTGTTTATTATTCTTTCTCTCTAAGAAAAATGTAGTGTGTATGACTCAGAAAGGGTAGGACATTTTGTCTCTAGGACTTCAGTGCTGCATTCATAATGTTCTACCAAAAATCATTGAGGAACAAGCTTGCCTGGGACCCAGGATGCCTGGCTTCTTCTGTTTTGTCTGAAATTGGGGTAGGTTTGAGGGCTTTTAGAAGTGGATGACTCTCGAGTTTGCTGTGGGGTGGATTATGTCATTCCTCTCCTACCCCATCTTGAACTCATAAACTGAAGTCTTATCCTCGCGACCTCAGACTGTGACCATATGTGGGCATAGGGTCTTAGAGGGATCATTAAGTTAAAATGAGGTCACTAAGGTTGAGCCCTAATATAATTCTCACTGATATTCTCAAAGGAAGAGGAAATGTGGATACAGACACACAGAGCGAAGAAGCTGGGAGAAGGAAATAAGCCAAGGAGAGAGGTTTCCTGAAGAAACCAGCCCTTTCTGCACCCTGAGCTTAGACCTCCTGCTCCAGCACTGAGATGGACGTTTCTGTTGCTCAGGCCACTTACTTGGTGTATGACCTCATGGGAGCCCAAACCATGCAAAGTCTACCTTTGAATTTCTTCTTTCGAAAGCGTTTCACATCGGAAGCACACATTTTGATAAGGAAATTCTATTTACATTGATTGTTCCTGACATAGTTGGCAATGTAATGATATCCCCATTTAAAAATTCCATTTATTTACCCTTCCCTCCCCATGCTTCTATCTAATGCATTTGCTTTATTCCAAACTAATTTCAAGGCCATGCCTTATTTATTCAGTAGTTAAAACTTTTGTCAACACTGTCTCCCGGAGCATAAATTTTATATATAGTTTACTATAAGTTTAAAAAGGGGCATACAAGTAAGCATTGAGACTTGATTGTGAAAAAATTATTAATCAACTAGAATCCAGTACAGCAATCCAGGAACTTTGAGTAAAAATACAAAAGGCCTTGTGCATAAATTTTTTGGGTTTTTTTCCATGTCATTATCCTTAGTTATATAATTATAAAGGAACAACTGAATAAACTATTCATGACTTTTGGCAAAGTTTTGATTTTCAAATCCACAGATTTAACTAGTTATTCTATTTATTTCTATTGTCTATTTGTAAGTTAACTCTATACCGGTTATTACTAATTCTTTAGAGTAGTAACTCATTCTTCCATGAGAAAAAATTTGGGGACTGGGAAATATGTTTTGTTTTGATATTTAGAATCAAGTATATTTCTAGTTGTAGTTATTTCTAGTAAAATATTGAGCTGGTCTCAAGAGTTATCTACCTTTCCTATGAGAAGCTGCACTTAGGAGGAACGTGCTTTCAACATTCTACCTTTAATAAGTTGATATATATCTCCTGCAAGACTGGATCTCAGGATAAGTAGATACCACTAGATGTAGGTATTGTGTAATCACTATAGATCTATATTATTATGTTCTAGTATACTACAGTATATTATACTATTCTACAAAAAAGAATAATTTTCATTTGAGGAATATATTTTTCTAGATTTGAAAACAAATATTTCCAATGACGTCTAAAGACACCTGTAAGCCAGTTTCCTGGGCACCCTAATCATCTCTTGGAGTTTTGATTTATTTCATTACAAAATAAGTAAATTGAGAGGGTGTTTCCCCCTTTACAAACTACCTTCAGTTTAGGGTGTCTAAGGACCCTGCTGAATTTCCAGAGGCCCTGGAGTGAATGAAGGTCTTCAGTGTAGTTGGACCACTGATCTCACAGAGATGACCTTAAGCTAACAGACAAGATATGTCATACAGACAAAAAGTGTGCAATCCCAAGAGAAATTTCTCCAAGTTTCAAACACATCTTATATTTTAATCTTGCAGCTAATGCTTCAGTGAAATCCCCTGGCCATGGTGTGTGCCCCTCCCATCTTCAGCGATGCCTAAGGATGTGGAGTTTACCAAAAATGGAATAAAGAAGCAGGAGCTTGGGCTTAAGTTATAGTTCACCCGATTAAGGTGAGATTTAGCAAGTGAATAAAAGAGCATTTGGACTTGGGGCTCTGAGGTCTTTGGACTCCTATGAATCCACCCCACAATTCTATAGCGTGCAGAGGCTATTCCAATGGACCCCATACTTGTGAGGACTCACCATTGGAAGGTGCTGCAAGCAGCTGACCTGGAGAGTGTGCTCCCATGGAGTGGGGGAGGGGATTGCACAGAAGCTGCCATCCTCCTTAGAAAGACCACAGGAAGCTGAGCAACTCAGGCAGGTGTAGTGATAACGCGGAAGCTATGACATCACTCACAGCAGAGCCTGAATGTCCAAACAACTTACTCACAAGCAATCAAGTGCTCACAGTTTTGGTTCCTATACTCTAAATACTTCTCAAGATTTTATGGATGAGTTGATTTTTTTTTTAAGATTTACTTATTTACTCATACAGAACTGGGGTACAGGCCAGAGATGCGGTGGGTGAGAGGATTCACCAGAGACAGAGTGGGGAGCAGAACAGGCAGATCAATGAAGTACACTGCTGAGGGGAGCAGCGGACGTGTCAGGAGAGGTCTGCCTCGCCATGTGGATTTCCTCCGGGGCAGGCGGGGTTCGAACTCATGCGGAAGTGGCTTAAGCTTCTTAGTAAAGTGCTGCGCCACCAGGGAGGGCCCTGGATGAGGTGATTTGACCTATGTAAGGGTAAAGGAAAGGGCAGGTGGTGACTCAATGACGGTCCTTGCACATACCCGTGAGCTTGCATTTCTTCCACTAGTTCAGCAGCCTACAGCATGGACCAAGTCACCCCACAGAAGCCACTCTTTCCAGACGTTTAGTGCTCAATGTGGTGCTTACTGCTGCGCACCTCCCCAGGTAGAACAGGTATCAGTGCAGGTGCTGCGTCCCCCTGTTCAACCACATGACGAGCCTCAATGTCTAATTCAGTAGTTCCCAGACTACTGGATGAAGAATACTTGATTCATTGGAAGTTGCGTTGAATGTTTTCAGTAGATGGATAACATTTTGCATAGATGCATGAGATAAATTACTAGTAAATATTCAGTAAAAGCCAAAATGGACTTCATCCCCCAAAGCAGCAGTGATGTCTGAAAGGGCACGGACTGTCCATTCAAGCAGATGTCATGCCTTATCATAAAAGAGGTAAAGTAAACCAGCTGACCAAGCCACAGCCCACAGGCATGCAATAAACCCACAGGTAAGCTGCCAGTAGGGACCTCGCTGAGCTCTCCACATGGAGAGGTCAGAGCGAAGCCTGTGGCTTGATCTCTGCACAAAGCGACACAGGACACACAGGACCCTGGTGAGAGAGGATGCAAAACCCGGTGCACCTGCCCCAGGGCAAAGACACAGGGACACTCCCCCGCCCCTTGGTCCTCCAGCTCTACACACCTGTCCTGACAATGCCCAAGATGC